TGCAGCTGTTCCTGCTGGTTCGAAGCCCCGAGTTCCGAGGAGTGGAGGGCGGCCGTGAAGCAGTCGACAGCCTTGTCGTACTCCTCGGCGCCGTAGAAGAGGACGCCCAGACCAACCTGAACGTCGGGGTCCATGTGTTCGCCGTCCGGGCTGAGCTGCGCCGCCTTGATGAACAGTCCGGTAACCTTGTCATGCAATTGCTGCCGGTCAGTGAAGCCCATCTCCGCCATGGGATGCAAGTCAGTCGGTGCGATAATCTGCGGGTATTTGACGGAAAGCCACCGCTCGAGTGTGCGGTAGGCAGTGCTGTCGTAGCCCTCGTTGGTATACGAGACAGCCAGGCCCATGAGGGCGGCGAGGTTGTTGGGATCTTGCTTGAGTGCTTGCTCAAGCGCGCGAATAGCCGCCGTCTCCTTCTCGTTTTGTGCCTGCGCCGAGCCAAGGTACACCCACGCCTCGGTATGCTGCGGGTTTTGCTGGACTGCAGCTTCGAACGCGAGAGCCGCTAGTGAGAGGTTCCCCCCCTCGCGCATGATGCGGACACCCTCCTCGAATGCGTTCTTCTCCTCGCTGAAAAAATTGTCCTCTTCAAAGAGATAGTTCTCGATAACGGGATCGCCGAGTCTGCCCCAGTCGCCGTTCATGCCGGTGAAATCTGGACCCCAGTCCTCGCTGTCGAATTTGTCGAAAGTCGAATCGTCGACCATGCCTCTTGCTGCAGCAGTTTCAGCCTGGATTCCTTTCCATATTGATTCGAAGTCGCCAAAACCTGTCTCACTCTGCATTGCCCTGTCCATTTCGTCCAGTTCAGGCTCCGCAGCCTTAGCCTCTTGCTCCTCCTTCTCCTGCAACTCCATCTGGGCGAACTGTTCCTCCCACTTGTTGTCGTCAAGCTCTACTAGCTTTCCCTTTCCCTTGGCGTCCTCTTGTTGTTGTTGCATCGGTTGCTGGTACATGGGTTGAAACGTGGGCTGGCCCATCATGCTGTTGTATCCCATTCCCATGCCCATTCCCATACCCATACCCATACCCATGCCCATTCTTGGCTGTTGAGCCATTTGGCCCGGCATGGGACTTGCCCTCGCCGATGAAGGCTGTTGGTTCATCTGTCTGAAGCGCGCAAAATCTTCGGGGCTGAACTGGGTTCCGGGGGGCTGTTGGAATGCCGACTCCATGGCGGCTTGGTTCTGGAAGTCACCAGCCCACGTCGGTGATGTTGAGTTCGCGCGGAGGTGGACTCCCTGGTTCGGATCGATTCGGACAGCGCCGTTTTGCATGGGGAGCTCTTGCTGGAGACCTGGGGCTTTGTTAAGGAAACCGTTCATCATCTGTTAGGACCGGTTAGTTCAAAGGCGTCCGTGACTTTAGCAGTCCGTTGTATGCGTACCTCATCCTGCGGGGTGCTTGCGCCGGCGCTTCGGAAGCCACCGGCAAGCGCATTAGGGCCCCTTTGCACCAGTCTGTCTCTCTGAAGAGTCTTGTCATCTTGGACATGCTTTTGGAATTGGCTGAGGGGGTTGCCGGAGGTCGAGCATTCTGCGCCACCCATAAACGACATTGTGAAGGGTAGGAAGCCGGGCTTCTCGATTCGATATTGTGGCAACCGTAATGGAAATATATATAGAGAGGGTTCCCCTAGAAGCGTGGGAAAGGTCAATTTCTAGAGAGCTCGGGTAAAAGTTGGTTGGGCTTGAGTTGGTAGACAGGTGGGATGTGACTGGTTTGTAATTCAGCCAACCTCGAGCGGCTGCGTCTCCGAGAAGATACCGAGGCAGGCCGGCGGGGGCTTAGGCGCGGCACACGGTTGATATCTTTCTCCGCAGCCGGAGGCGGGGTAGCCAATAAGGTCATCAAAGGTGAGAGAAAACGACAGTGGGGTGAGCGCTGACCCCAGTTCGTTTGGAGCTCTGGACTCCGAACCGCGCATGTGAGTGGCGCATGGGTGTACAAGAAACATGTCACTGCTGGGCTTCAACATCTTTATGCTCCTCTTTAGGCAATTTAATCCGACAACCGCGATGTAGATAGCCGGCCTTCAACAATAATATCATCAGCTATCTTGACTGGACCCTGATGGAAGTCTTTTCTGTCAGTTCACTGTCTCCTTACCTTCGCACCCTTCATCGAATTACAAGGCAACATTTTCTCTCAGCTGCCCGTAGTTTTCTATGTCATAACCTAAGCTATGGGTATCATGTACGAATGCTCGTTCGTGAGTCCTCCGTCTGCGGACCATGTTCAATCCTCCAGATGGATCTATAGAATGCCATGTAGCGTTCTTGTTTTGCAAGAGGCGCAGTGGCTCTGTGGTCATGAGCCCTCCTGGTGACTATTTCACCCCAATGAAGCCGATACTCTGACGAGCCTTAATAACAGCGCGTCGGAGAGCCTGCTCCTCCTCATCCGTCCATTTGACGGACAGTTGATCCCACTTCTTTCCGGGGGTGTTATACTCTCTCTTCCACTGCGTGTGTATGGCCTGAAGCCTGCTCATCTCGCGAGGATCCCCAGAGCCAGTGTACACAATGAAAGCCGTGCAGGGCGGAAGGCTCTCGTGGATAGCTTGAAGAGAGACTGACAGACGGGCCAAGCACTGTTCAAGAGGTGATCCGCCGAGCTTTCCTTGGAACTGAGTCTTGTCCAAAGGAGGAGGGCCGCCGTCGCTGCTGGCACTTTCGACCCGATTCTTGTTCCACCACCCTTGCAACGCCTCGAGCTCTCGCATCCGACCCCATACGAAGTCGACACCACCACCGGGGATCTCCAGTCCATCAGGATCTCCCTTCACAGCACGGATGACGCCGTTGACAACGTCCGCATCGGACTTGCAGCCTATTTGATAGGTTGCTCCAGCACCAGGGCCCTTAGACGGTTCGCCCCAATCTACAGCAGCGCTTGTCTTTCCGGTAACCAAGCCGCCAGCATCTCCGCCCTGTGCCTTGTAAGCGGTCCCGGCTCTTGCTAGCCGCCGGAATAAGTTCTCGCCTTGAGAATCGGACGCGCCCCACAACTTGCCCTTTTCGCACTTTTGTCTGACGAGATCAAGGCAGGCGCGGGAGTCTTCGATGGGATTGTGTCCATTGGCACCACCTTTTTGGATTTCGCGGTTGACATACTTCTGAGTAAGCCACTTCAATGACGCCTTCAGAGGGGGCCCTCTAGGATGGGGGTAGATTAATGAGGTATCGACAATGAAAGGGTGTGAGAATCGCAGGGCCTTCAAGTCAGACTCGAGCGAGTGTCCAATCAGGATCGTCCGCGGAGTGACGAGCTCAACCAACTTCTGTTGGATATCCTTCAAGGTGGTCGTGACTGGCTTCAGCATCTCCTCGGTGATGCCGGAAAATCGGGTGACGTAGTCGATAATGGGCTTTTCTGGCTTCACCAGTTCGTCCATGATGAGCTCGCCCGACCAAGATATGACGCTGATGCGGGTAAGTGAGTATTCGTTCTCTCCTGTCATGCACATCTCGCAATCCAAGGCGAGACATTCTCGACCAGCGGTCACGCTACCGCTTTCGATCTCCGCCTCAGGCACCTCGCCGTCCTCGAGCTTGTCAACTTTAGAGATTGCCCATCCTTCGGGAACCTTGAAGGCCGCCTTCCTCTCCTCGTTCTCGATGAGTGCTGGGTGGATGAGATGGCCAGCGGTCTCGAGCTCTTCGAGTGATGCGAGGAACTCGGTAATACGGGTTCGCTCATTCTTCCATCCCGAAGGCTCTCTTGCCGGTTTAGGGCCCTTCCTGTCGTCCTTGTTCTTAGGCATCGGTGCCGTCAAAAACGTTCCCATGGGTGAGTGAAGCTTCATGTACTTGTCGTCACCAGGTGCCTTGACAGGCCATAAGTGGGGGAACATTTTGGCAAATCCCTGCAGCGCAACCGGCAGCTGGTCTGCAGTAAGAGCTCGTGGGTAGTAATCGTCGGGCGTCGTTTCCGTCCGGTCCTGGTTCCTAGCTGGGCCAGATGTGTAATTGTCAAAATTCACCCCCTCCTTGAACATGGCCTCCTCCAATCCAGGCACCATCAACACAACAATCTTTCTGAAGTTTGGTCGGTGAGAGACAGAAACCCAGTTCGGGCCCGTTCCATCAGCGAATATGTACAAGACAAGGTCGCGAAGCATAGCAAGGTTGATCTTGGAAAACAGCTTTGCGCTCGTGGAGAAGGTAATTGCGGGATAGTTGTTGGAGCCCTCGCGGGGGACCTTCTTGCGTTTCTTGCTGGATCGCTCGACTTTGGTCCATCCTTCGTCATCATCGCCAGGAGCACTTCTCTTCAAGCTGCCACTACTTTGAGTATTCGAGGAACTCTCCCGAGAACTGTTTTCGCCATTTCCTGTCTCGGCTTCGGCAGTCGCTTCGTCCATCTGGGAGGTCATTACGGGGACATCATCGGAGGCGACAATGGCACCCTCTCCGCCTTCGTCGCGATTTCTACGGCGCTTCCCCATGATATCTCTGGTCCAATTACTGCCGATGGTAATTGGCAGAGGTTCAGGAGGTCCAGTATCGGTGGCGGTAGATCGAATTGCGCTGCGGTGGATAGTCGAGGCGTGCTTGTAGGTGTGTTGGGGTGAATTTTCAAACGGGAGCTCAGAAAAAAAGTTCCCTGACATGGAAAGCACAAATGCGACCGTTGATTCCCATTGTTAGGTGGTTTTGCGGGGCGAGCCAATCGGCTGGGTGTGTGATAAGATAAGCGTCAACTGCCCGTCAGGGACCCCCGGCCTCCAGCTCCTTCCCAGTCGACAGGGACTGAAATGAGGTAGGCACGAGCAGGCAAATAGCAAGATTGCCTGTCGCATTCTGTCGCAGTGTCACTCTACCTTGCCATGAGGTACCCTTCGCCCTTCGCCGTGATGCAATGGGAAGCAACCTTTCCTATATGTCGTCCATCATACAATCTCTGAGCCAACAGCTACCAAACATATACTCTTGGCGTCGCGAAAGCCTCGAGTTCACAGATCCGTGCCATCGCAAATCAGTTGAGCCTTCCCCAAAATGGAAGTCATCCAGTGCAAGTGCGCAAGCTGTCAAGCAATATTGGCAACTTTCTTCAATTTGTGGACTCAGATTGGGAAATCTTATTTCAGTCCTACGATTGAGGCCCAAGGCAATACTCAGATGATCGCCAAGGAACCCACGAGAATTGGTGAAGCAGGATACCTCGTTGCCGAGTGGTAAGGGACCGTTCACCTTTTTTTCTTTGTGAATCGGCAGACTGATCTCTCGCAGCGAGCTTCAAGATGTCGCTTGCGCCAAATGTGATAACGTCATCGGCCTCATGTGTCTAAGTAGCCCAGTCAATCATGTGCTTCACGAGTAAGTCGACCTCGCGACTCGACTATACCCCTACTCACCCAAGGTAGCTCGCAAATACTTCTCAGAAAGACAATTATCGTGTTTCTCAAGAAGAATGGCAAGCCGGTCGAGCTCAATGTGCGCCACACATTGAAGCTCCTGAATGACTCTCGCCCCGGATCGTACCCGGCAAACGATCATTTCAATCCCGATTCTGGTAAGGGTTTTGGGCCTGGGCATGAGTCGCCAAGCTCCAAGAACACCGCTTTCTCTTTGCTTGCGAGTAGATCTCGATGTGCAGCGGGAGAGCATTGACAGAAATAGATACTGCCGGTTTCCAAGTCGTGTCCCAATTCGACAGCGCTGTTTCGCGCATCGAAAAGGAGATGGCAAAGCTCAACTCGACTCTGGGCCAACTTCAGAGTGACTTCGATCTTCACAAAGCTGACTTGAAGTCCGTTAAGATTGAAGTATCCAGTGGAGAGTTCTCGACACAAAACAGTTTCAAGCTGTCTCGATTGGAGAGCCAGGTTCGGACCGCAAACGCTGCCATCTCTGAGATGAGGAAGCTCTCCGAAGAAGTTAATAGGGAGAATGTTGTGCTCCGAAACGATCTCCTACTCTCGCGAGAAGATTACAAGCAGCTCGAAAACGTAACCCTGGGCCTACAAGTGGATGTGGCAAAATCGAATGCAACCGTGAAAAACATCCTCGACATGAACATTGGCAGTGCCAAGGAAACAGCCAAATGACGAATTGAGTTGAGGCAGCTGAGACAGATGATGGATCAGGACCGCAAATGGAAAGTCGACCTGTCAAAGCAGCAAATACCGTTTTGGGAATTGGATATCCTGACCAGCAACATGACCAAGATTGAAGCTCGGGCAAGTCAAGTGGAGACATTGCAGATGGAGTTTGATCTCTTCAAGAGCAGGATACAGCGTCTGGAGGCGAGTGCAGAGCATCTCTCTCAACCTCGCGAGGAATTACAACTCGCCCCAATTCAGCAATCCAAGAGCACGGCCACATCTGGCCCATCGAACAATACCTATCCAATGTCGAATGACTTGCATCAAGAAGCACCTGCCAAGGTTTCCAGCGAAGCCACTTCAGCCTCACTCAAAGTTCTGCAACCTACGAGTCGCAAACGAAAGGCACCAGCAGAGAAAGTGGCCGGAGCTGGTGAAGGTAACAAAAGCCCAAGACTCACCAGGTTGGGTGCCACTGACAAGAGGAGTATCAAGAAACCGAGGGCTTTTTTACCCACGGGCTGCAAGTTTTGACACTCCTATAGGCAGCTCAGTGATCAAGAAAGAACTTTTGTATTCAACTTTGATCTCGTTCAGGGGTATCAATTAGCGGACAAATCGCGGTCCTCGCCTAGGTCCACCTCCAACACAGCTTTTCCGAGCTCAGACAACGCCTTGAGCGGCTCTACCAGAGCGTACCGGAAGAACTGGTCCATTCCCTTTGGATCCATGATCCAGGCGTTGATCAGGCTGTTCTCCCTGTCTCTGCCCGGAAGGCTCTCGATCTCAGCAATCATCCATCTGAACATACTAACATCGTCCCAGTGGACCTTTGGCGTCCGATCCTCGTACGCATTGATCAAGGACAAAACCATCTGGCACATTGACACTTGGTCGAGATCCGCCAAAACTCTGACGCCGGCGGCCGAGAACTTCTTCTTCGCAGCCATGTCCCTCGCCAGTTTTACCAGCTTTTCCGGTTCAGGCGCTGTGTGAGATAGCTCGTTGGCAATGGCGGAGAGACCTCTTATTCTCTCGTTGTGAAAGGGGATGGGATGCTTGTACGGTTCGATCTCGTACGCCACTAAGCAGGCAATGGCCAAGGCGCATTCGTGATTGCCCCGGGTTTTCCCATAATAGACTGCCGCCTCGTCCAAGAGCTGAGCAAAGGGCTCAATGGCCCATCGACCATTCTCGGTAAACCACGATGCCGATTTGTACGCTTTCCTCAGCCACTTGTGCTTTGCTGTCGGTTCTGTGTGACGGACTTGCGCCGTAAATATCTCTAGAAGCTTTTGGACTTCAATGGCTTGCCGCAATCTGTCTTTGTCGGCCACCTGAGGGTGTTGGAATCTCTCGATATCAGGTGTTGCACTCAGCTCATTCAGCTTAGCAACTCTCGGATCCTTCTGGGCGACCTGATACTCGTCCAGGTCTTCGATACACTTGAAGCACTTGCAATCGAAGTAATACGATCTCAGGCTTTCATGTCTTTTGCTCTTTGGCTGCGTTTCATCTGTAATCGCTTAGCTGATGTCCTTTCATGAGACAGTCCTGAAGGCGGCTTAATACGACAACTTACCGATGTAAGATATTTCGACCTCATCCCCGGGCTCGATGAAAGCCATTGCGCGGAGTGAGGCTGACCTGCCATCGAATTGGACCATGGCATTAGGGCTGCATGAGTGATTCATCATGGCAAGTGTTGTGTCCAAGTAAATGCCATCAGTCTCATCCTCTGAAACACTAAAAGCATTTGTTTGAAGCTAAAAGCACTATCAGCATACACAGGATCTACTCGGCTCGGAGAAAAGATATTATAGGGCACCACACACCTTGCACAGAACCTGAAAAGCACTCTCCAGCAAGTCGACCGAAGCTTCATCGCCACCCAGACACATCACAACCCCACGCGCCTGAAGCTGCAACTTGACCATCTCTCTGCCCTGCCACGACTCCACATTGCCCTCCAGCTCCTCAAACTTCTCCATCACCTTGGGCCGTAGCATGACCTGTGCCGCCGCCCGCACCGGCGTCGGCACCCAGTTCGGCTGGTCCGCTGGCTTGGTCTTGTGAAGCCTCTGAATCGCCTTGCACTCGAACTTGTGTACTACAGACCAGTTGGCGCGCTGGCAAGCCGGTCCGCAGTAGGCCACCGTCTTACATCCCGTGCATGCGCGGAGCTTCTCTGTGACCGGAGTGTCTTCCTGCTGCTGTTTGAGGCAGTGGTTGCAGTACTCCAGCGCGCGTGGGCCTGGGGGGAGCACGACGGCCGGGTTGTTGAACCGGGCCATGATGTCTCCCGGCTCGAAGCGGCGTGCCGCGTGGACGGAGCGACCCTTGGCGCCACCTTTCTCGCCGCGTACCTCTATGCCACTGCTTAATTCTGTCATATTGAAGGCTGCTCTCCGTTGGTCCAGAAGATTTCAGAAATGTCATACAAAACTACCGAGAAACCTCTTCGATATGTTGCCCAATCCCTTGGCTAGGGATACAGGGCAATAGAGATATCTGTATGCGCCACACTTGCATGTGGCTAATGCAAGGTACAACAGGGGAATAATCAAGGATCGACAGCTATGGAAAAAAGCTGGAGAAGCTCACCGACTTTCTCTGCTTTGGGGGTCTTGTGTGTGTGGAAGCGCGGCAGTCGTGGCAGTGCAGCTTTTTGTGCTTGTTCAACTGGGCTACCGCAACTGTTCAGATGGAACTTCACCGAAAGCTCCAAGGGCCCCACCATCACCGCTCGAGCACGGACCTGCTTTCCTCCCACCTTTCAACCCCGCCTCGTCCCTACTCCATCCCACCAACTCCCGCCTTTCTGTTCACGGCCTTTTTCCTCAGCCTCACACGAGCACATACACATCTCGACCTCACAACAGCCCCAACACATCTTCCTATCCCAGGTTTCTTCTCAAGTCCCAAACGAAACGCGTCATATCGCCTTAACAAACCCTCCCTAACGCATCGACGTTTCGCGCGCGCGCAAAAAGCTCTTTCTCATGACTACCATCGAAAACCTCAAGACCATCGACCCCTTCGCGGACGCGGACGAGGGCGACGCGGACAAGCAGAAGAAGGGCCAGGACTATATCCACATCCGTATCCAGCAGCGCAATGGCCGCAAGACCCTCACCACCATCCAGGGCCTGCCCAAGCGCTTCGACCAGAAGAAGATTCTCAAGGTCATAAAGAAGAAATTTGCCTGCAACGGCACCATTGTGGAGGACCAGGATCTCGGCGAGGTTCTGCAGCTTCAGGGTACGTCACACACTTCAGCGATGGCTTCGTTTTCACGCTGTCATGCGTACCCTCGGCAGAAGCACCCGATTCGACCGAGGGCCGCTGAGACGAGCTCCGAGCATGGAGATACACCGCCACCTACGTATACAATAAGCGAAACTGACAATCGTGACGCACAGGTGACCAGCGCAAGGCTATTCACGACTTCCTCATCGACAAGCAGGAGGGTCTCGAGATGGACTCCAAGGTACGTCAGATCACTCCCCCCCCCCCCCAATATCCATGTTGAGACGCCCACGTTCCAACTCCCCCGCATAAACCCAAGCAAGACATGGCTAACCCCAATTTCCCCGATAGCTCGTCAAAGTCCACGGCTTCTAAGGGAGCCGTTACTGCCAGGAGGTGCGATCTCCCCCTCGCAACCGAGCGGATCCCGGTGACATAATCCCCTGAAGGGAAGGGAGATTCGAGTACCGTCTGGTCCACCACCAAACTCTTAGATCTATCTTACGAATGCTTCCAAAAGGGGGAAACAAAAGCTTCGTGGAGATGCTTTAGGCCCCCGATGAGCTTCTGAAGCTTTGGATGGGGTGGGACTATTCCGGAAAGGTCGATTCCCAAACTCAGACGGGGAGAAGGGAAAGCTACCGAGAGGATCTTAAAGGTGCCTGCGGGAGATAAATTGCGACACGGTTCAGCTGCGCATATTCACAGCCAGAACATGTCGTGCCGCGCTGAGAAACTGGCAAGGGGATTTTTTGGGCACAACGGTTTTGGTGGGTCTGAGAGCTTTTTTTACAGCATCCGCTTTCTTGTTGTGGCTCGTCCGCCGTCCTGTGATGACGGCACTGATGAGAAACAAGGCTTGCGAAAGGTTATGAGCATCATGCCCAGTAATGAACACGTCAACTGAACCATTGCTATTCTCGGGTGACCAACTACATGTGCTTCAGAGTTGCATCAGTTAACACCGCTTGACTGATTTTCAATACCCACGGATATGGTCAACCTTCCCACTTCCACCGTGGTTCTGGCGTTCAAGTTCAACTGTTCATTCAGTATTTTGACACCAGTATCGTTGAATCACGCAAAGAATGCACCCCAGGGCCCTTGTAAACATTTTTATTGAAGCTACACCCGCCGACCTCCGTATTCTAATTTTTGTCTGCCATACGTGCCCGCCCATTAACACTATCCCCGGCCGGGAACAGGAATCTAATCTGCCAACTCCTGATGTTCGCTGGTTGCCGGCTCGCCGTCACCAGGATGTTTGACACCGGATTGGTTGTCCTCTATTTGTTCGCCTTCAGCTTGGTTATCCTTGTTATTCCCGGCTTCGCGCTTGTCTTTGATTCCAAATTTCTTCCTCAAGACCAGTTTGAATCTAGCTGTGCGGCCTAGCTTCTTGTTTTGTGCCATATCGTTCGCTCCGTCCTTGTTGGCAACATCCTCAACATGTTCTGCATCACCACCGCTGTCGGACTTGGCGACCTTCTTTGGCTGCTGGTTACCAGTAGACGGGGTGGCCGGATTCATTGTAAGAGGGTCACGAGGTCTTGACCCTGCAGACCCCGGAGCCGGTAGCGCCAAGGCTGCTCGAAAGGAAAGGGGACTATTTCCGGTACCAGAGTAGAGATTTGGGGCTTCTTCCTGGCCCTCTGCCCTGACCTGCCACTCTTCTCTGGGCCTGCTGGGGCCTTCACCGTTGTCGAGTTCCATATCAACGGCTTTTCCCTTGCCTTTATTTCGCTTTGGAATCTCGAGGGTCTCTTGTCCTTCCTCGTCTTGGTCACTTTCATTGCTTTCTTCGTTATCGCCGTTCTCGCCATCCTCGTCATCCTCGCACCCGTCGGCTTGCACGTGTCTTTCTTTGTCGACCGCTCCGCTACTGGTGGCACTGCCAGCGGTGGAAAAGAACGGGAAGGCTGCGGGGTTAAGCCGCAAGGCTGTGGCTGGTGGCGGAACAGAGCATAGCGTGCAGAGACACATGAAAGATGGACGACACATCCGAATTTCCTCGCCCATGGCGATGTCCCTTGTGGCTCTGAAAACGGAGATGGTGTCATTGTAGTATCCGGTGAACCGGGCATTTCCGTTCGGGTCTCCAAAAGGCAGAAGCTCGTTAGGGTCGAGAGGTATGAGATGGTTTCCGAATACCATGAATCCAATGGTGTTCATGAACTCGCAGAGTATAGAATAGTGCATAGCGTTCATTATGTGTCGCGACATGGGAACTTCCTCCAGCCGTGGGCAGAATTCCCGGTAGAGCCCCTTGATTGCGTTGGCAGCGGGCATCGTCAATCCCTCCTAGAAATTGGAGAGCCGGTCATCTTCTGGTTGGAAATTGGTCACCCTGAACATGGCCGGGCCCTGGAAAATGGCAGCCCCGATTGGGTAATTTCTCATTGCTATCCTGGGGCCTTCTATGAAGGTGAGCATGTGAGGCATGGGTAGTAGCGACATTGTGATGCCGACGACGTAAAGCTTGTGTCGTGTGTAGCGGGTTGTGTATGAAATATCTAAGTACTCGACGAGCACTACGATGGGACGGTTAACAAGAAGAACGGATGAATAACGAAGAAAATCTTGGGGATAATGCGGATTGTGATGAATGACGAAGTCTGTCGAAGGAGAAGATATGGGAGAAAGGGGACAGAAGAGGATGAGTTCGAGAAGAGAAGCAGAGTAAATTATGGTGGAAGGAAGATACCAGGAAGCTACGAGAGAGAAGGGAGGTGCACGAACGTCTACCTTGCCTTGTAAGCCATCTGGGTGCCAGGTGCGTGATGCGATCACTTTCTTTGGTATACCTTATCAAGTACCCAAAAACGACTCGCGGTGGGAAGCTGCTAGCGAGAGTTGGGTACGATTCAACAGCAGGGAGTTGGAAGGTGGGTTGAGATGGCACCATACGGTAGTCACGAGTCGCACGATATTGCTGGTCTTATCTACACTCCTAGGTAAGGAAGTCAGAACCTGGGATTGCCATATCTCCGCGAAATACCTTAGATAGCTTACCTGCTCTTTGTGACGATGATAAGTGTCGAGATTCACCAGGAATGGGAAGGAAGTCGGTGGAGCACGGGACATGTTTGATAATAGAGTAATGATTACTAGAGAAGCGTAAGAATCAGAGCTTCCTAAGCAGACCAGGCAGGTCCGTGGCTCGAACACGCCCAGTGCGGTCTCCCAATGGCAGGCGGTAGACGGGATAGCTAAGCTTGATGTGCAAAAGGCATGAGCATACCAGAAGTTCAGGAAACCAATAGCCGCCCCCAGGACGCCAAGCAAGATCAAGCAAGTGAAGCTAAGGCACTCGTCTTGATCTTCGTCTGTTGCTACCACAGCATACTGGAGGATGGTCAACTGATAACAAAAGAACTGAAATTTTTGATTCAACCTCGAGTTGATCTATGTAACGGTATCATACACCACACCCTACTCTCATTCCTGCTTCTGCGCGGCAAGCTTCTTTGCTTTCCGCTCCTCCTCGTCGAGGTGCTGCTTCTTGTAGTGGGCAATCACGTGGTCCAGGTTGGTCTGGGAACCGGCAATAACGTTGCGGGCGGCGAAGTTGGACACGGCCCTGGGCATCAGTTGTCAGCTTCTATTCTTTTTTCTTTTCCATTATGAAGGCCTAGACGCCTTCCATTTCGCAAGGGGATGCTCGGTTGGGGGGAGGCGTACTCGGGGAATCTGAGATCGACATCGCGGTTGGCAGGGGTGGAGAAGAAGAGCAGTCTGTCGAAACCGGCCTGCTCAACGGCCTTGGTGTGCAGCGCGTTTCTCTCCTTCCATGTCTCCTGCCAGTGCCACGCCTCGTGGATCTTCTGGGTGAGGTAGGGAGGCTCGCCGTCCTTGCCGGGGGCGGTGATCTTGTAGACGGCGTATGCGGACGGGATAATGGCGACGACGGCCCAGAAGAAGTTCTATCGAGTCTCAAGTAAGCCAATTGGATTCATATAACTGCCAATAGCACATCGACCGCCAATTGACAACAAAGGAGGGGTTGTTCGCAGACGTACGCCAATGGGCTCCTCGACGGTGTGGGCGTGGTGGTGGCCGTGGTCACCCCCGGAGGCGTAGGTTCTCGATTGGCGCAGGCCAGTCAGCCGTGACTGGCGCGCGATGCAGACAGCCCGCGTTCGAATGGCCTGCATCGTGTATGACGTTTCGGAAACGGTGTGTCAATTGACGATGGGATATCGGTTGCTGGGAGTACGTCTCTCGAGGAGGGAGCTTCGGCTTGGTGGAGGTTGATCCAAGGTGCCGGAGGAGCGTCACTTTTCGTGGATTAGCGCTAGCGCGCACAAGCGCGACCGCCCGCGTCTATTGAGCCAATCATCGGTTGCCGAATTCAAATAAGTGAAATCGCCTCTTAATGGGGCTTTTGGATACAACTTGGCCAGACGGACGACTTCGACGGATTCCTATTTCGCGATGGTAACCTGTCCTTTTCCACTGTTGACTCATTCATAATCTTGCGGTTGTGTATAAAGGCGTGCATCTCTTCAACCGATTATCGTTGCATCAAATTGCATCCTTAGACTGAGTCAAGTTTTAAGTTCCTTGAGGTCCACCTTGCGTACAATCTCTTACAGCAATACAGCGTTTTTAGCTGGTCCTACACATCAGATAAGATTGTATCTGTTCACCCGGCCAGATTCATCAATATCATCCATCTCAACACCTCTGCAACCAACAACATACAAAGGTCAAACCCTTTATTTAAATTGGTCGAAATGGCGTCGAGGAGATCGACCCGCACGTCTCTTTTTTCATTCACAATTTTCATGGTCGTTCTCGGCCTCGTCTTTTTCGCATCATCAGCCTCCGCCTCATCACCGTCAGCGCCCTCACCATCAGCGGAAGTAGAGCTCATCTGCCACACCGACAACCCATCAGAATGTTATCCCAAAATCTTCCAACCCACGGAAGAGTTTCAATTAGTTCACGATGATCAAGAATTACCTCACGGACTCCACGTACGCCTAAACATCAACACGGGCAAAAAGGAGGCCAAGATCAACGACCCAACCGAGAAGAACCCGGAACTTGAGGGCCTGCCCGTTGACCGCTCCATCGTGGTCGTGGACTCGGACGAAGCAGCACCTGCGGAAGCGCAGATTCCCAAGGACGCGCCGAAATACGAACCAGTCGGCGTGGTGAAGCAACCCAAGCAGGAGTCGGGCGAGTTCTACACGAGTCTCGAGTACGTCAAAAAGGGGCCCCACGGAAGCGACCTCCCAATGGACGAGGCCCTGGAGTTTCTCGAGGATATTTCTCACGACATTTACTACGGTCTCAAAATCACAGAGACCTTTGACACCGTCAAGTCCCTCTTCTGCCTCATGATTGACCCCAAGACACCCGCGCCGTCCGAGGGCGCAGTGCCCCGCGACCAGCAGGCGGCAGCGATCATCTCCGGCGCTCTCCAGAACAACCCCACCGCCCTCGAGGAGGTGACCAAAGTCTGGCCCCAGCTGATGGACTCATCCTGCCGCTCCCTCCACAAGGCGCCGCAGCTCAAGATCCGGGACGGCTTCTACGCCTCCTTCGTACGCTCTTCACCTGAGAACGGTGCCGGCGACGCAGCGAACCACGACGTCCTCCGCGCCGCGAACAAGGCCAAGGCGCAAGTCGCCGCCATCAAAGGCCTCATCAAGAGCCCCACCATCCGGGACGACTTCATCGCCAACAAGGGCATGGACCGCCTCCTCGAGGTCCTGGCACCCGAGGACGCGCAATGGGAGACTGCGCAGCGTAAGACCGGCCAGCTCGTGCTGGACAGCTTCCTCGACGAGAACATGGGCGCCGACGTTGGCGTCTGGCCCCTGTTCAAGGCCTCCGAGGCGGACAGGTCCAAGAGGGTTGCCGACCGCGTGAGCGACGAGAACTGGAAGGTTGCGGTCAAGGCGATTATGGAGAAGAATAAGGGCGATTCGAGCCACTGGAGCCGGGATCTGTATGAGAGGCTTGATGCGCATGAGAAGGCGCAGTTGAAGATGATTGGAAAGGATGAGCTGTGATGTGAGTGATGAGAAAGGATGCATAGATCATGACATAGATATACCCAGGTGCTTCGGTGCCGTTGTTACAGATGACCACTGTCCATGCTGGTGCCCTCAGCAGTATCGTACAAGTGATAAGCCTCGAAGTATCTGAGCCTCCAGGTTGGTCAGCGAGATTCTGGTGGGTCCAAACAATGACATTCTGGTATTGAAGAACAGGGGCTTAATTACGTTGCAAGTGGCCACTTTTATCAAGGTTCCCTACAACTCCAAAAAGAAAATTGGCAGTCGTAAAACGTCACGGCAAAGTATGAGTGGAAGAGTGAAATGTACTTTTGGTATCTCTTCGTTGAATTCATTCCCATTTTGAGGCTCAAACTTTTTAGCGGACAACGATGTTGTATTGAACTATCATCGCCCAAACAACATGATAGCGGCCTTGCCTTGCTACCAAAACCATTTCCCGTTTCGCCTTGATGCCCGTTTGAATGCAAGAACCTCCCATAGACAGCCCACAACCATACTCTCCCTTACTTCAGGGGGATGAAACGAGAAGAGTGCGTGGCACCGATACCGGGTCTTCCGTGCTTGACGGGGCGGCTGGTAGGCTGTTAGAATTTGTTTCGAGGCGTATTGCTACGTCTAGGCAGCATAATCGGGGTAGAAGGGGGGCACATACTAAGAGATGGAGAATTCAGCAAGGTAGTGACCAACCATCTCGGGCTTGATCTCGACGGTGTTGAACTCCTTGCCGGAGTAGATGCCAATGACGGAGCCGATCATCTCGGGGACGACAATCATGTCACGGAGGTGGGTCTTGACGAGGTCGGGCTTCTCGTTGGGCTTGGCCTCCTGCTTGGCCTTGCGGAGCTTCTTGATCAAGCCCATGGGGCGGCGCTTGAGACCGCGGTTGATGCGCCGGCGGGCACGGGCGTGGACGACATCGCGGAGCTGCTCAGAGTCGAGGTCAAGAAGACTATGGAGCGAGAAGACATGTTAGCTTGACTGTTCCTCATGTGGTGCGATTGATTCTCGGTGTCTTCGGATCGTGAGGTAGGTGGAGAGAGGGAAGATGGTGATGAAACCATCGTGGTGTTCGTCGATCGTGGGGTGCCAGGTGTGATTGATGGTGGTGGGATGTGAGATATGGGCAAACGTACGCCTCGAGGTCGATTCCGCGGTACTGGAACTTGCGGAACGCTCTTCTCTTCTTGAGCTCGGCAGCCTCCTCGGCGTTCTGTATGCGTCCATCCAGTCAGCCAAAAACTGTTCTGTTCCAAGATGTGAAGCCCACGCCACCACGCAACAAGTCCCTCCCCCATTTTTTTCCTTGTCGCGGGCGCGTCCATTCGAAATTGCTTTATTCTTTTTCCATCGCTCAGGGAAACAGGAGGAGATTCGCACGTACGTATTCGGGGTCGTCAGCCATCTTTGCGGGTTGTGAGTTGCCAGGGAATTCGCTTTCGATGCGGTCTATCGAAGGCGAATAAGCTGAATTGCCGGTGGTGTCGAAGTTTTGGAAAGGGTGCTGGGGCTGCAGTCGCTTGGAGGTTTCGCTTCTCTGCGAATCAATCGCCCCACTCGCACTTTTTGGTAGGGTTCGGTTGCCCTCCTACCGCGTCATGTGATCTTTTTGGTTGAAATTCGCTTGGGGAAGGCGGGTGGGCGCTCGGACCATAAGTCCTCCGTTTTTTCTCCGGCCGCCGACCGGACTTCCTGCTCCACACAGGCGCCGACTTGTTCCCTTTCAGCTCCTCTTTTGCCGTTGAAGCTGTTCCGTGCCTCTACCCATGTACGATGGCATCCGACACATGGGACATCTGCGATATATCCCTGATGTTTAATGGTCCGACAACTCACCCAGTTCTTCAGCGTTAACGACCAGGCCTATAATGTCACAATTGATATTAGATCCCGCAGCATCTTACTCACTTCACGCATCCGTACCTAATATTCAGTTTCGGCACTTTGCGGGTCCCTTCTAGATCGATGCATCGGGCGAGCTACAGCCTACAAATCACACAACACATATCAGCGACAACTTGGAGTAGCACGCAACAAGAAGGCATGGGCACCTCATCAGTTTTGAGGGTCGTCATGATGAGGCTATATGATCATTCACCCTTAGATGCTCTGGACTCAGCCTCGGCAACCGTGGTTCTCCAGCATTCACTTGTTATAAGACGACCCTGTTTATGCTTATCTCGTAGTGAAAGTGGGCAAATACCAAACCCAATCTAGACAGAACCAGGGCATGCTCAAGTGGGTAGGCCAGGCCGGCAAAATGACGAGATTCTCTGCTTCCAAGCAACGCCGTCAGTGCCAGGCAACATTACGCAGGAACAAAGATGTAAGTCAAACAAATCAGCACCGAACCCAAGAAGTGTTTAGGAAAGACTGTTACCCTCAGGCATCATTCTCCGTCACATAGCCAACATACATAAAAGTAGACAAAAATAAAGTTGTGTTCATGTATATCTCTATCGACCCTCATAGATCTTTTATCATGCCAAACCCAAAAACTCCAATGCTATGCATGTAAATGCCCATATCCTCTATACCATTCCCAGCCTCGGCCCGTTCCAGTGTCTCTTGGTAAAAAAGAACTTAGGCGGAGCCGTTAACACCGTTGACCTTCTTGTACTCCTCGCTAAACTCGTACGTGTTGTAGCCATCGTTGCTCTTCTTCTTGTAGAAAGTAGTGCGGTCGTAGGGGGTGAAGGCGACGTTGTTCTTGACGCGGAAGACGAGGTCCGGGTTGGAGATGAAGTAGCGGCCGAAAGCAACGGCGACATCCCACTTGGCGTAGCGCTCGTCGACGGCCCAGCGGGCGCTGTCGCCAAGGTAGCCACCCGCGACAACGACGGGGGAGATGTTGTCCCACTCCTCGAGGATGAAGTCAAGCGTCTGGGGCTTGGCCTCGTCAAAGGGCTGCACGTCGTCCGTGACCTGGCGGGGCACGATGCCCAGGTTGACGGGGTTGCCGACGGCCTCGACGAGAGAGAGGTAGGCGAGCTTGTGGCCGGCCTTCTTGATCTCGCGGACAATGTAGGCCGTCTGCTCCCAGGTGTCGGGGCTGGTGGAGTAGGACTCCTGGAAGGTGGCAAAGGGGCTCAGGCGCAGGGCGACGCGCTCGGCGCCAACCTCCTCAACGACGGCCTTGACGATCTCGAGGAGGAAGCGGGCGCGGTTCTCGACGGAGCCGCCCCACTTGTCGGTGCGCTTGTTGGCCGAGTCGCGGGTGAACTGGTCGACGAGGTAGCCGTGGGCGCCGTGGATCTCGACGCCGTCACCGCCGGCGGCGATGACGTTGCGGGCGGCGACGCGCCAGTTGTTGATCTTTTCCCAGATCTCCTCCTCGGTGAGGGCGTCGGGCTTGCAGGGGCGGCCGGTCATCTGAACGTCGGAGGAGGAGCAGTACTTGAAGCCGCGGCCCCGGACGAACTCGGGGTCAGCGGCGCGGCCGAGGGACCAGAGCTGCTGGAAGACGTAGCTGCCCTTGGCGTGGATGGCGTCAAAGACGTTCTTCCAGGCGGCGATCTGGGCCGGAGTGGAGAAGTCGGGGAGGTCGAGATCGCCGACGTCGGCCGGGGAGACGGCGGTGGCCTCGGTGATGATGAGTGTGCCCGGGGTCGAGGCGCGGTCGGCGTAGTACTGAGAGACGAGGTCGAGGGGAACGGAGTCGTCGTCGGCGCGGTAGCGGGTGAGGGGGGCCATGACGACGCGGTGGCCGAGTTCCATCTTGCCGGCCTTGAGAGGCTGGAAGAGCTTGGTGTTCTCGGCGGCCATTGTGATTGTTTTGGAAAGGTAGGTTTTGAACGTCGAAAGGGGGTATCTAGAAATGCAGTTCAAATGGAAGTAGAGAGATGAAATTTACTGTAGATCAGAGTGATGGATGAAGATATAGCTTGTGATGATGGCTCTCTTCACTTGAAAAGAGGGAGGTCTTGAGGGTATTTGTATATTCCAGAGACTTGGTGTAAGTCAACCAAGAGCCCACCACGGACGGCATTGTCGTGGAATCATCTGGAGAGTCCCACCAGGAACATGAGCAGTCCTCGGCACTCGCCCCCACAACTAGATCTTCCCGCAATGAGTTTGTTGATCCATTGGGCGAAAAGACTTTTCCCGTGGCCCTGGAAGGCTTAGAAATGACCTCCCCTCCGTCGTACACGGCGACAACTCGGCGAGCGGGTCGGACGCCTTACCGTCCATTTCTCAGCGAGCCACCAGATCCGCTCACTCTCCGAGCGGTGAAACCGAAGCCGGGTCCTAGTGCTTGTGCCTTGCACTGCTCCATGATGTGAAGGGATTGGGGTGGTGTGGGTTGGGTAAATGCCACTCCAAAGGTAGGCTGAAGAATCCGAGGTACTCTGTAGGGCGCTACACGCGGTGTTCCTGGGCGAAAAGGAAAAGTTCTCGAACGTATCGAGTTCCCCTTGGACGAGGTCTCCCTACTAGTGTAGAAAGAACTGCGGCTCCGCAACGGAATGGGTCCGTGTGGGCAAAAAGACGATGACAGACGATAACCTAGAAGGCAACGAATCATGAAGGCGAATTGGGCCCGATATTGCCAAAAGCGGGTTGAGCGTCCGAGCTCTCTTCGAGACTTGGGTGGGCAGCCACGTCGACAGACGAAGTTTTCAAGGGCTCTGCTTAGAAATCGTATAGTACGATGAACAGCAGAGGTGCCAGAGACTGCGAGGCAACGAAGACGGGGCGCGTGGGTGTCGGTGGGGTTGCGTTTGACAGCTTCGAGCTTGTGACTTGATCAACTTGTTGTCTCGCAACAGGGGGCCCAAAAAGGTAGGGAGAGCACAGCGAACGTGGTGACGTCCCGGTGGTGATCAGTACCTTGGCCAACATTCAATCTTGCTCAGTGTTCAATTATGAAGCCTGAATGCAGACTTGTCAGTTCCCAGACCAAGTCTTCGAGGCGTCGACACAGGCCCAAGAACCAGGAACAGAACTATACAACCTTAAACTCGTCGGGAAGTTCTGACGTGCTGAGAAATGCCACGAGGTTGCGGCGAACGGCCCGGCGATTCAGATACCTGCCCCACACACCATCGTCCTGCCGCACTACCGGACCTCGGGATTTTGCCGGGAGCAAATAACAACAAGGCCAAGCTTCATCAAGAGCCCGCGGCGACTTGGCTGAGAGTGGGATGAAGCCTGTTCATGGTGTACTTTGCTAGGCAAACCTCCAGGGTCTAGATCAGGTAATCTCAAAGCCGTGGCTGGATCGGAATGCCATGGTAATTGCTGCCCCAGCACGTTACAGAAACAAACGTCTACTATGGGCAGATGATTGATAATCCTTCATGAGAGAACTTTTTTCTCGCAGTTGCAGTCTGCCGGTCCGAGATCTGGGATGATGGACGGAATTTTGGTTGTCGGCGATTAGCTTCAGTGTGGCGTGTGTCACCTTATCTCCTAACATCAGCCACACGCCACACCATTTGCGATTGGGCCCACTTAGAACTCCATCACTGGGGTGCAGCAAACAGGGGCACAACGAGGGAATCTCACGATGGCTTCAATTCCGAGCTCACCGTCCCCCACTCTCATTATTTTAGAATATAGAGACAGTACGCTACTTCAGCTGACCACGAGCTCAAATCAGACCTCAGAGCACGATGAATGAATACCTGGTACTTATGAATAGACCAACATCATCTTAGCCCACGGACATCAGCTTTGAACTCAAATGCCATGATCCTCCCATTCCTCCTTCTGAGGCGCCCCCTCGCATCATACTATGCTGCCTCTTCACACTTCCCATCGTTAACGCCTACATAACAACCCACAACAGCCCTATGCCAAATGACTCTCCGCGCGGAATCCGGGCAACGATCCCTGTCTTCGCGGCAAGCATCTAACGCAACAGCGGGGTTTTTCGTCCTCTCGTCCTGGTCCGACGCCATTCTCTACTTTGACACAATGTAAATGATAATCTAGGCGGGTCCCAAGGCCGCGTCCACTTCTTCGCTATCCGGCATCTGAGCCGTAGGATCCCATCCAAATGGGGTAGAATACACACCGAATTCGCGTTGTTCTCCTGGAGTAACGGCAATAACCACATAGCGCACTTCCGTGCTGTTAATTATGACTCTGATCGCGCGTTTATCCACGTGAATCAAGAAAAGGAGGTCTGCGGGCGTGAGACATCTAGAAGCTACCCCAAACATCTAAAAAAGAGTTCACCACCGGTGTGGCTACATCTCTTGGTGCTCATGCTGGAAAGTCCGGTGCTCATGCTGGGATTCGAACTCGGGGACTCTCGTATGCGCTAAGCCTGTCGTCGAGTAGGCTGGTTTGCGATGTTAATTGTTGACCATGAACCACTCCACCATCCAGCCCAGTTTGACCTGACCCCCCGACCTAGAGGGGCGCCTGCTGTTGCTGGTGACGGGAATGGGATTGAAGGGGGGTATATACCTTTAAGATGAGGTTCATGACAATGTGCGGAAGGTACCTCTGCCTGGCCGTATTCATACTCGAATACACGTAGTCCCGTGGCGCATGTTGGACCTATATACCCGCGTTGGGTGTGATATACCCATGTTCGAGCAAGTGGCAGCACATATGACCAGGTCAGCCCTTGGGAAATAGACAGGTGTGGGATATGTCCAAGGCCATTTTAGCGAGTTCGAGCGACGTAAGACAAACGTTGAGTGAGGCGCAGGCATCAGAGATCCGTCATCAACTCTATGACAAGCAAGGACTTCGGGAGTAGTATGGGGACGTCACCGGGTTCCTCCTGGAGGGACCATAAGCAATAGACCACCTATCCAGAGACAAGACGCGCTTGGTGAGATAAAAGCCCGAATCGTACTTGTATATGAGTGAGAGACCGGTCTATGATGCCATGTCACGAAGCTGTCAAGATCCCGCCAGAGTTCTTTCTCATATGTAACTCATCATCCGGTCACGATATCCAATATCAACGAAAGCCAAACCCGAAGACAGCTTGCCACCAACGCCAAATCGTCTTAAAGTACACGCCATCCAACCCACCAGAAACTCCCAATGAGAAAGCGCCGGTCCATCTATTTGTTATGCCAGATAAAGTTCCTAAGCGAATCCCACTCGCTGCTCTGCTGGTAAATATACGTCATGCTGCTGCGCAAACTAGGCTGCAGCTCCTGCGGCTGCCAACGGAACAGGTACATGACCATGGCCCAACTCGTGCTCGCAAAGACGGGCCACGCGTAGTAGCTGATCTTGGCCGAGACGTCGTCGCGGCTGACGACGGGCAGGCCCTTGCCGGGGGCCACGGCGAGGCGGGCGAGCGCCAGGACGACGCGCGCAAAGACGTAGATGACAATCTGCTGGTTCACGCTCGAGATCTTGCCACTGCGCGGCGAGCGCCCGCCAAAGACGATGTAGCCGCCCAGCAGGCCGGCGAAGAAGGAGTCGTAGGGCCCTTCCTTGCCCGGGCTGGGGCCGTAGTTTTTGAGGAGGTACATTGTGAGCTTGTAGATTGTCGCAAACTTGGCGAGGTTGCGGGCGTGTGTTCGGGTCGCGCGGAAGACGAGGCCTGCTTTTTGGCGGAGTCTGTTGAGGTTTGCTATGTTAGCCGGGAGGTGGTTTCGCTGGGGGTGAGGAGGGTGGTCACGTACGTTCCAGAACGGAAGAGGAATATCATGCTGTAGAGGGCCTGAAGTTAGCATTTTGACTCGACCATGAGAACGGATTGGAGGATGCGCTACATACACAAGGGCATGAGGAAAGCGGACTTTTGCGCCGTAGACGGCTCCATTGCGGGCGCCTTTGACGACGGCGAGAATGTCGTGGTACTTGGGGTCGAGGATGATGCGCTCGATTGCGGCCTATGAATGCGCGTCAGTCCATGCACTCTGGTCCTCGTTCGTATAGCTAGCTCTACCTTGAGGCCATCGAGGGCGGCGAGCGACATGTTTGGCAAAGGTCGTTGCTGGGTGTTGCGTCTATGTGTGGGCGGTCGCAGTGGCTAGCCTCGGCAATTTGTACTCTCCCCTAGTGGGCGACGGAATGCGACGATGGAGTCGCTATCGGTTCAACAAAGCTTCCACTCAGCGCATGGAGATCGCGATCGTTTTGGAAAGGCAGCAAATGAGCGACAAGTACAGAGTACGTCTATGAAGGAGAATTTTAGGAGGGTTCGGACCGGAGGTAATGGGGAACGGGGTTGTGTGAAGTTGAGACGGACAAGTTGTAGTCGGGAGTCGTTTGGTGGTGGTGGTTGATGGGCGGTGGATGACCTTTGCGGCAAGGAGTGGTGGACGGTACCCGTACCTCGGCCCCAGGGCCTGTCTGGTCCCACGGTTAGAGGTGAAATCTGGCTGGGTTCGGCTCTGGGCGAGTCACGCTGGAGACGGCCTGTCCCCAGCCCCCGGTTCCCCCACATGCCCCTATGACGCAGGGCCGGCGCGCCGCTAAGCCTTCCAGGGATTCGCCCGTCTGGGGAAAACGTCGTGGTGTTTGGGGGTTTTGGCATGTGATGACGGATGGCAATTGAGATAGGACAACGTTGCCATTCAACTCCTAGTAGTTATGAACATTCAAACAATTCATTCAGTCTTGCACTTCATTGTAATCCATCCGGACAATAAATCGGCCTTCATAATAAATCATATTTGAGCGAAATGGGTGTAGGATTGATGACAAGTAGGGACAATTGCAAGAGTCAATTAATGTCTTGGGCCTCCCACGTGTCAATGAATTCCATGTGAATCTCACTTGGCGCCAGTACCCTGTGGCGGCATGAGCATTCCTTGAACCCCCGATTCTTCACATGTGCTTAAGACTTGCAGCACCAATAGTGCTCATCTCATCTCATCTCAGTCCCAATTCACAGCGCAACGGTCATAACTTCACGACTTACCCCAAAGAGTTTAGAGAGATGAGATTTTACAAGATGAAACTGCGACATCTCACTATGACAGGATACTAGTTTGCGTAGACATGAACTCCACAGTCAACATTCATGCTAGAGACGGCATCGAATCTCAATCCACCCTCAGTTCTTGGGCTCGCAGACTGCAATGAACGGCGATGTTACACCTAAGCAAAGTTAGCCACACAGTTCATACATCCAAACGCAGAAGGCAGAACCGGCGCTCACCACCAAAAAACAACCTCCCCGTCTTGGCGTCGTGTACAACCGTAGTAGTCCCAGGCAACACCTCCCCAAGCCCGTCCTCGATAATCTTCTCCCACACGTAGACGCCGTCCCCCTCCTTGCGAATACGCACCGCGGCGCTCTTGGGCCTCGCGTTCAGCGGGTCCTTGGCCGCTTGCAGAATCTCGATGCCCCGCGGGAAGATGGCGGCGTAGACGTCGCCCTTGCCGTCTACCGAGAGGTTGTCGATAGCGTATGGCACGGGGATGTCGACCACTTTCTTCAGTCCGTTGCCGTCGTTGCCTGAGAGCACTTCAAACACCTGCACGCCACCCGCCATGGAGCTCGGGACGTAGATGAGGCCGTCGAGGCCGCGGACGAGGCCGTTGGGCATGCGGTGACGTTCGGAGACGCGCTTGCATCCCGTCGAGGCGGAGCAGAATGATACGTCGCCGTCGCCCATCAAGGGGCCGATGAAGAATTGCTACAAGTTACGGTGCATCAGCTGAACCTGTTCCTATCTTGAACATTGCATGCTTTTTCGCTTACCAGCCCGACTTTGTGGGGCCCATTTGCATTCGTAAAGTAGAATTCCTCGCTAGACAATGCAGCGATGTTATTCGGCGTCGAAATGTTGGCGCTGGCAAACGTGCGGACGTGCTTCATCCCCATCGCCTTGGGCCCGGTCTCGAAAACTTCAATCGTCGAGTTGGCGCCCACGCTCTTCTGGTCTAGGAGCGTACCAGTGACGGGATCGACGGAAGGGCCATTGTTGACCACGAGGATCTCGACTCTATCGCCCTTCGGTGCGTCAATACCCGTGATCCCGACGAGCTGGAGCAGTCCGTCGCCGGCGGTGCCCGTAAACCCGGGCGTCTCGAGAACGCGGTACTCAAATGCATCACCCTTGGGTATGTCAATGTCCAGCGCGATGACGGCGTCCCGCGTTGAGCGGCCCGAGGCGTTCATGTGCTGTGCGCTAGAAGCCGGAGCGGGGTGAGATTAGCTTGCCTTTCCGGATCACACCGATCCGGCCCGGGAACGGGGAGCGGGCCGATAACACGGGACGGGACGGGTACGGAGATGGGAGGGGCTGCTCTTAGAACACGTACTTTGGTAGCCATTGCTGACGAGAGAGGGGATCAGAACAGGCGAGGAAGAGTTGGCGCGTGGCTTCGGACAGCCACATATCCTCGCATGCCTGCAGTCTGGGGTCCTCGATGCGACGGCACGAGTAGGGGAAGTCGGAGAGAGGCTGGAATTCCTTGCCGATTCCCAGGCCCAGCCAAATGGGATCCTTGAGCACGAGCTGCAAGGCCACGCCGAGGATCACGGTGAAGATGATGCTCGTTTGGAGAATGAATCCCATGATGAATCGATGTAATTTAGGCCGCCAACGATGCTTGTCGAGATGCAAAAAGACAGACGATATTTTGGCGAAGGTTTGTTCCAGCTTTATAGTTACGGGAAATGTTGGGAATAAAACATGGCAGGTAGGGATCCCTCATTGAGCGAATTCAGCGCATGAGGTCAGATCCTTCGGGCACAACCGCTTCGTGATCCACTATGAAGAAGTAAGCTCGCTAGGGCTTGTCAGAATCAAGGTGATTCGGGATGCCGAGCTCCGTTCGTTTGCTTGGAAGGTCTAGTCGAACCTCTGCAAATCTCAATGATAAAAGATAAATCTGGTTCGACATGGGACTTTGGTTATTGCTACGACTTGGAACTGTGTGAATGACGACAGGCTCCCCGACTACAGTGGGCCGACCGAGAGTCTCCTCCGTGTCCGTCGGGTCAGTGCATCGCCGAAGCTCACTAAGTCTCCGAGGAGTCTCCGTGGAGCCAGAACTACGGTCTGACCTTCCAGCCGGCTGAAGCCATATCGGAGGGTTGCGTTGAACCGTTCCTGCTTATCTGACCTTGCACTTGATTTGTTGCCAATTTTGTTACCAACTAAGACAGGAAAGAGGAGCTGATAGCCGCCCTGCTCCTCATCTGAGGCAGCTGTTGGTGCCTACTTTACTTGTTGCCTCCTTTGCCAAAGCAGCAGAAATAACAGCTCGTCTTTCTTGACCGCAATCTTCTCCTTTTTGAACTTGGTCTGTCTCGATATCGGATCTCCTTCCTCTCCTGTCAATCCATTTTCCGTCATTGGGTGTTCGTTCCGTTCTATCTGCAGTCTCCGATCGAGCTGCGTCGCAGCCTGCTTAATGCCAGGCTGAACACCCAATAAGGTGGTCAGCACCGCGTCACACGACACCATCTTTATTGATTGAATGGCTCAAGTGAGGCTGAAATATTGACTCTTCGCGCCCAGCCTGACCCAGTTGCTGATGGTTGCATTTGCACCCCTGTGTAGGCTCGCAAGTCATGCTTATTATCATGCTTAACCCCCCTTCTTCCTGGTCTCGATGTCGGCCGTTCTTTAGTTCCACTGCAATAGTCCGTGGACCGATACCACCCAGTCTGAGCGATGAACCGAGTTCTCGGGTCTCTGCTACTTCTTGCGACAGTAGCTCGATCAGCAGATAACATCCACAATGTGACGAATAGGTGGGACGTCTTCTGGCAGCTCGCCGACTTAGATGCGCAATTCCCCAACAAATCAGGCAGTGTCTATTTGGGGAGTCAAAACTACACATGGTGCTGCCTCAAAGCCGTCTACGTCGGTCTAGACATTTTGAACGGAACGTTGGTCATCGCCAATAACTCTATTACTAAAATAGGAACATCTACCACAGGTGACCTTCGAGACGCCGCTCTCCGAAGTCAGTTTCCCTGCGACGCCAAGTACAACGATGTAGGTTCTGAAAATCCCTTTCTTCGCCGCAAGAGAATGAGGGCTCACCAGAAGCACAGGCACATCTTGGGGGCGCCCCTGAGGTGCAAGTCCAATATGCATGGTTCATCGACAACTGCCCAGGCTGGTCTCTCAGTGACAAGTCTAACCTGAATGCTTGGCTTCACTCTCTGTCGGGTTTCTTGCTACCAGCCGTGGTATTCTGTCTGTCTGTGCCCAGACGAAGGAAACTTCATGTTTATCGGTACGACAACCCAGCGATACATCATCATCTAACATGCCAGGATTCGTGACTTGCTCTGACATCGCTTTAGCGCCTTGTTTGTAGCCGATATCGCCGGCATCAAAAGTATCATTCCAGCAATCATCGGTGCCATTTTGGCAGGCATAATTGTCACAGTCGATACAATTATATGGCTTTCCATCTGCTTCGCCTTCGCCGGCCCCATGATTCTGAGCGGCCTCTATGAAGCGTTGCTAGATAACCGGGTTCTGGAGTTTCTCAGAGACAAAATCCAAAATAAGCGACTGACGCTCGACATGCGGTGCCGTTGCCTCATGCTGGTATTGATTGGGAACCTTGATCTCGCTCTAGACCGCGAGACCCTGAAATGGGGGAGACAAGCATATATTTCCGCCGTATCAGCAATACCTCTGGAAAATGGGCACATATCACACCAGGATCACACTGCACAAGGGGAATTTATGACAGGATCGACGCCCCAGGAAGCTCGTACTGTCGAGAACAGAGATATACAACTTGGGTCCCTAGCCCATCGAGAACAAGCAACTGTCAATGGTGCCAACCAAGATTCCCATGGTAGAACCTCGCCCCAAACTGTCGCAAACTCAACATCAATGGATACAGAACCGCCGAATCAGAGCATCAGACGGCGTTCATCCGCTCCGCAGCCAAATGCGAACAACGCCGTCTCAACGCAGGCATTTCCACGTCATTCCACTGGTCACCTAACGGCATCTCCTTGGCGTCACATGGAGACTTTACTCTATGATCTACGGCTTTACGATGATGACAATGTCTCTAGGGGCCAGTCTCCGCGTCAGTGGGCCAGGCACAATTGTCCAGATCGCCTGTGCGACCGGCGTCAACACATCCAAGAGCCATGGCCCCGATCCCGGGAGACTGAGCGTTGCATAGTTAGAACCAAAACCCGACTCCGAACGATGTTGCACTGCCAGTATTCGTTCGGGTCGATTGTTGGTGCACCAGTAATGTAAGTACCGTCCTTAAGAAAAAGCGAGGCAGTCTGCGGGTTGCTGACTAGTCCAGCTTCTTCCTCGGAGGTTTTATCTTTTCGTTCCTAACTAGCCTTGACGAGTTGGGAGATGAAAACATCGCGTAGGTCTAGTCTCCATATCATCCAAAGCCGCAAACTTACTAAGAAAATTCTGTAGGGAATCCATCGCTTTTGGATCATGGTACATGGTGAGTCCTCACTTCCTGGCTACTATTCCTCAATTAACTCAAGCTAGATTATTCCTCATATCGCCATCATTTCCGGGTTACTACTTGCTGGAAACAATCCCAACATCCTGGAGGGGGTTCTGGCAACAGAGCGCGATCCGGAAGATCCCGAAGATCCAACTTACGTCTTTGGTTTCTTACGCTTCGATCTGGTCTATCCCAGTTGCTACAAGGTGGCCTGGCAATGGCTTCGCGGCCACACCAAGAAGCAATGGATCGAGCAGCTTCTGACAGTCTATAGCAGAAGAACTGATGTCGAGTATCGAGGCCACGAGGATATCGATGGCGATATGAAGGATCTACGCTTCAGAACTACCTTGTCGCTCCTCGACTGGTTCGTCTTGCTCTTCCTCACTCTGCTCCTCGTCGGTATCCCCTACCTGTTCGCATTCATGCTGGCCTTCTTCACGCCCCAGATCGGGCTGTCCTGCCGCTCCCTGACGTTCTTGGTCTACTTTGGTCTCCAGCTCGCGCAGATTGGTCTATGGCTATGGGCTTACATCGGCGCCCCGGGCGACGTCACCAATCCCAAACGCCGCATCAGAGCATTGGACATGTTTAGAAAGGGAGGCTGGCTCGATCACCGAAAATTCTACGACCCCTCAACGGCTCCGTGGCACGAAGACACGCACTCGCCCAGCTCCAAGCTGGCGGGCTTCCTAGCCCACGCCAGTAAACCGGGATCCTGGACCTTGCACACTTTTTGGTCCTCGCTGTACTACTCGTTGCAAATCATCTTTGGGCTGAGCGCCGTTTTTGTCAGTCTCGGCGGTACTTTGATGCAAATCATGGGCGTGTACCGTACCAACATGTGCTTCGTCAACGTGCATTACTGGTTGGAGCCGAAGGAGAGACGTCCCCCAGTTGTGTTATCGGTGAACAGCCGGGAAATGATTAATTCCGCCACAAGTAAGTCACATACGCAGTTTCAATATCAAACGGACTTTCTGTCCTTTTTGGGGGGAGGGGGAGGCCATGGGTCTGATAAGCAGCAGAATACTGGAAGCCAGTCGCCATCGCCGCGATAGCGTTCATGGCGGTTGTGAGCTTCGTAGGCTGGTGGTACCAGCGACGTATGCGCGACGTGTTTGGGCAATGTGAGTATATCGAGATACGACAGTCTCTTTGGATGTGGGCGTTTACTGATGATCATTTAGTGGTGAAGAAGATTGACAAGGTTGAGTTCGAACGTGAGTGGCCATTCCGCCCCCGACCAGCTCTGGGAACCATGACGAACGGTGCCATCGACGGACAGCAAAACTAGTTGGTATTGGGAGGCCAGTAGCTAGTGTCGGTATTTGCTCTAGACTTCCTCGGCCAGGGAACGGCAGAATTGACGCTGTCTCGAGATCTCTTATTCCTTCCGACCAGTGTTGTGAATCGTTATTGTTCTCCAAGGCTTCCGCGAGATTCCCTGTATGATTGATTGTCGCACGGGAACACTGAGACCACAACTTGGCAGGAGTGCGGTGCTGGTTGTCTATACAGTGTCCTGGCTCGACTGGGCTTCCTGCCGAAGTGAATTTCGACACGGAGTGCAAGTCCTTCATTCATTACAAGCTACATTCAGAGCTCGTTGCCAGTCTTTTACTCAGAAACTAACGTTGCGTCACCAACATCCAAGCGCTAATCGCAATGAATATTGCTTTCACTGACATTACGACAAAGCATATTTCACCTTGAAATGTGACCAAAGTTCAATAATTTACCTTGCCTTGATTGGCGGCGTAGAGGTGTCACGTTGCTTGAACAGGTAGCAGCCACAGGAAGTAACCGTTTCTTGAATATTGATACTTATGCAGCGGCTTCTGATGCCTTGAAAGCAGTTGGTATGCCACACACCGAAAAAACGGCTGTCGTTTTCTGTGCTTCGTCCAATATAGATGCAATCATAAGACGAGCGCGGGAGCAACCGCCCCTTGGTGACTAGAAGCCATAGCAAAGGTGAGAAACTCGAAGTGGTGAACGTTAGGCACCAGCAATTGAATTGTGGTACCCAGACCAGGATTCGAGCGCAACCAACCAGCATATCCAATGTCAGCTCGCAGCTTCTGGGGCCCCTGGCCTCTCACCTGTGCTGTGGAGTCTTGAGAGCCGCAAGAGGTAATCAACATTTCTGACAGGATGAACAGCATAGTTTATTGGAGGAGCTCTACGAATACACCGCTTCCTGCAGGGGAAGCCGGGATTTTGCGTGGGCAAAGCGCGAAGGATTCAAGAACAGGAACTCAGCCCGCGGAGCGTTCTCCACAACATAGATGCAATTGATCCTTTAACGGTATCCGTAGAGGCATTCAGCAAGCTTCTGCTTCCTTAGTAGGCAGCCAAATTGAGATGACCAGGGAGAGAGGGAAAAAGCCATCCTTGATCAAGTCAGCTCGTGGAGTTGACATGATGCCACAAAACTCTTGGTACTGGCTCCGACATGCCGCGCTTACAAGACGCCATGGAAATGGAAACACATAAAGAGTCCATCATGAGACGCATCAACTCGTTTTGATGTATCGCCACCCATAGGTCGACAAGAAAACCCCCCAAGATTAGAATCATAATGTTCAACCTTGCAAAGACCCTCACCGCAGGCCTGGCCCTCGTAGGCCTAGCCGCCAGCACGCCGGTATCTCTCGACAAACGCCTGCCAGGCCGCGTCGTCCGCGCCGGCGACCCCGTCGTCATCGATCCGACCGGCAACTACATTCGCGTAAGCTTCATGAACGACGGCACGCTCATCGGCGGCTACGCAGCAAAAGAAGGCTCGACCAGCATCCTCCGCGTCGTCCGCTCCACCGACGGCGCGCAGTCCTGGCAGCGCATCGGAGAGGTCTTCCGCGGCGAGAGGGCAACGCACGACATTGACAACGCCATGCCGATCCAGCTGCCGGGCGGCCGCATCCTGTACGCCTACCGGAACCACGACCGCACGGGCGCCGAAGGGCACTACACCTACTTCCGCATCTCCGTGTCGTACTCGGATGACGGCGGCGCGACGTTTAAGTATCTGTCTACCGTCGAGGAGCACGTGCCCAACGGCGTCAACGGGCTATGGGAGCCGTACCTGCGTCTGGCGAGGGATGGCACGCTGCAGTGTTACTATTCGGCTGAGAACTCGGCTGATGACCAGGACAACTTTATGAAATACTCCAAGGACGGCGGTCAGACTTGGTCGGCCTGGATTCCTGTCTCGGGCGGCGATCGTTTGTCCCGTGACGGTATGGTCGGTGTTGCGCCTATTGGCAACGAAGGAGACTTGATGTAAGTTGAATTGTAATTAAGCTTCCCTACCCATCCGGAAAGAGAAACTAACAGCGAGCCCTTCACAGTGCCGTGTTCGAACACACCAGAGAAGGCAGGTTCAACGTCGATTACGTCCTCTCCCATGACGACGGCTACACCTGGGGCGAGCGTGGCAGCCTCTACACGGCGCGCAACGGCCGCATGTCGGGCGCGCCGCAGGTGTACAACGTATGGGGCACGCTCGTCGCCAGCTTCATGACCAACGAGGACGTTGAGGGTGCCGACGGCTACAACTTTGGTGAGATGAAGGTCATCACCAGTGTCGACCACGGTAAGACATGGAGCGGCAGTGTCGTGACGGGACCCGCGCAGGCCCATTGGCCTGGACTTTTCAACAGGGACCCGACACATTTCCTGGCGCTGTACTCAAGAGAGGGTGTCGGCGCTGTTAGTCAATTGTATGAGTTGGTGAACTAGGCATAGGGGTCGTTTAAGAATCGGCCAAACTGTCGCGTATTGTTGTTTGGGGCTGTGTATGAATGGTTCACCGTTGGAGTAATATGATAATGACTTGGATGAAATTGTTTGACTGTTGCTCGTGTCGCCGAGCACGCTCTGTGCATGATGTCAAATCATTTCCAGAAGATGTAGCTGAAGTTCAATAACGACCTTGGCCAGATTGTTCTCCATAGAAAGGATACGGATGTCCTCCATCCAATGTGGAAAATACACTAGACGTAAAAGAGTTGACATAGCTGCCAGAGGGAACGGACTGAGCTTGAGATGGGCCAGGCATTTGGTCAACTGCATTTGGCGCTGCCTGCGATAATTCGTTTGCTGGCAGATTCGAGCTCGTCTGTTTCTCCGAGGCTCGCGTTGAATCAGGAGCCTTCACTGCCCCTGTTTTCTTTTGTGGATTCTTCTTCTGGTCGGGTTTCCTCTTCCTCTTCTTCAAGGGCTTTCCATTTTCATCGACAGCGCCTTCGTCGACAACCTTCCGCTTGCGCCCGCGTGTCTCTGGGAGATCCGGGTTGTTGTGGCGCGTACGGTCGCACCCGTACGGGTCCTTCAGAAGCTCGCGACCTGTTCGCTCGCTGATATCGAAGAACTCATAGAGATCCTTCCTCTTGAACTTATAACCCTAAGCAGTAAGAAATGTCTAGGCTCCGCGGAACCGTGCCTTTTTAGGCGTGTCGTGCTCTTTATGGCCCATGATGGTGGTGGTTCGATAGTGAGCTGGGCATCTGTTGGACAAAAATGGGTGTAAGCGCGTGTTAGATATTACTTTATAAACCGGCAGTGTATTTTGATAACGTTGCGGTGATGAGGAACGACGAAGCTCAGCTGAAGCCCTGCAGGTGGGACCAGCTGTCAGTCTTAGATACGGGCACCTTTGATGCTGCGGGGTGATAAGATAAGAATTTACATCCTGACGATAACGATAAGCAATTTTTTTGACGGCGGCTTCAACTTTACCGCAGAATTGAGATCAGGTCGCATCCCAGCCACTTGCATCAAAGACCCGACGGACGACAAATTCGACCACCGGCACAATGCTTCGTCAAATGTGAGTCGCGGCAACCGCACAACGTAGCCATGCAGACAAGTAACTAATAATTGCTCAACAGAAAACCCCGTAATGCTCGCTCCAAGCGTGCGCTCGAGAAGCGCGAGCCCAAGGCCCAGTACGTTCCCCCGATCTCGACGAACAAGTTTGACCATGATCGCAAGCTAATTCAGCAACCTTTCTCTCAAACAGAGAAAACCCCAAGACGGCATTGTTCCTCCGCGGAAGCTCATGCTCTCAAGTGACACAAGATGCCATCAACGAGCTCTACCAGATGCGCCAGCCGCTCGCCAAGCGCTTCGTAAAGAAGAACGACATCCACCCCTTTGACAACGCCGACTCGCTCGAGTTCTTCTCGGAAAAGAACGACGCCTCCATCCTCGTCTTTGGCCACACCTCCAAGAAGCGACCCCACGCCCTCACCCTCGTCCGCACCTTCAGCTACAAGGTCTTTGACATGCTCGAGCTCTACCTCGACCCGGACACCTTCCGCACCCTCGCCCAGTTCAAGGGCAAAAAGGTCCCCATCGGCCTCAAGCCCATGCTCAACTTCGCCGGCACCGCCTGGGACAGCCCCATCGCCAACGAGTACACCCACGCCAAATCCTTCTTCGCCGACTTCTTCCGCGGCGAGCCCACGGACAAGATCGACGTCGAGGGCCTGCAGTGGATCGTCTCCATCACGGCCGACGAGCCCACCGACGACGCCGCCAAGCCCGCCATCCGCCTTCGCGCCTACACCATCACCACCAAGCGCAGCGGCTCCAAGGTGCCCCGCGTCGAGGTCAACGAGATTGGGCCCCGGATGGACTTCCGCGTCGGCCGCATGCGCGAGCCCGAGGAGGGCATGCTCAAGGAGGCCATGAAGAAGCCCCGCGGCACCGAGGAGCGCACCAAGAAGAACATCACCACGGACGCCATGGGTGACAAGATGGGTCGCGTGCACGTCGGCCGCCAGGACTTGGGCGAGCTGCAGACGCGCAAGATGAAGGGTCTGAAGCGCAGCAGGGACGTGGCGAGCGAGGACGAGGGGGAGAAGGGTGACGCGGAGGAGAAGCCCAAGAAGGGTCGCAAGGAGTAAAGTGCTTGGAGTGACAAAAGAATACGGCGACGGTTATATGAGAGAGAGAGAGAGAGTGTGTGTGTGTGTGTATGTGTGTATTGTGGAGGAAACTTGATATACATATCCGAGTGGGAAAAGAGACGACGCAGCGGAGGATCGACCACTCATTGGCGTTTTGTTTTTGGTCAGGAGGCATCCCACGGTTGGAGTTTTGAGCTTCTTTCAGCAGATGGTCGGCAGATTACAAAAGCAGGAACAAAGTCACAAAAAGCATTTGAAGACCTCTATTAATTCCACTACAGCCATGCTTCTTTCACTAATGTAGGCCAACTAGGTGATGTTCGCGCTTATGGGACATCAACTAACACGACCACCTCACTCACAGCTTCAGTTCAAGATCCGAAACCCTCAGACCAGACGCTCACCGCTGGGATCCCTCTTTCTCAGCAACTCAATCGCCTTTTGCGCTCTCTCCAGCATGGTGGCGCCCTCGACAATCTTCTGCTTGTTGGGCTTGATGATGCCCTGCTCCAAGAGCGTCGGCACAATTTCTCTCTGCATCTTTTCCTTGAAGAACTCATTCTGTGTCACCGAAATATCAGCCTTGCTCATCTCATGGCAACATACTCACTCGACGAAGAAACGAATGAAATCCAAAAAAACTCACCGCAAGGTAGAAATGCGTCCTCACCCCCCGGAGCTCGACACCATCAGCCCACTCCCCAACCAACACGATCCCCACCTCCATCTCATACTCCGGCTCAACCTCCTCCGTCGCATCCCTCACAATGACAGGCAACATGACCGCAACCTTTGTCCCCCGGCCCGCAATCTTCGTCAACGGTCTCAGCGTGCCCTCGACGGACCCGATACAATCCAACACGAACGGCACGCCCCGCTCACCAACGGCCCCCAGAATCTTCTCCACGACGTCGGCGTCCCGGTAACTAAACGTCTCCCGGGCGCCCATCGCCTTCAGCTGCGCGTGGTGTTTCTCGCTCGCCACGGCCAGGACGTTCTGATACCCCCAGTGCCGCAGCACCTGCACCGCGTACACGCCGACACTGCTCGCCGCGCCCCAGACAAGCACGGCGTCGTCCCTCGCACGCGGAACCCACTCTCCCTCGGCGGGTCGAGGCCACGGCAGCTCTAATCCCAGATCCGCCGTCACGGCATGGAACACGGTAATCAGATTCGTCGGCACCGTCGCCGCCTCCTGCGGGGTGACGTTCGCGGGCAGCTTGGAGACCAGATACGCCGGCACCGTCGCGAAGTCCTGGTGCGCGCGCTCGCTAAAGTGGTGGAACGCAAACGTAAAGATCTTGTCCCCCGGGTTCAGTCTGTCGGCGTCCGCTGGGTCCTGGTCGGGGCCTACGGCGACTACGGTGCCCGCTGCGCCGCCGCCCATGACTTCCGGGTGGTTGCAGAGGAGGCCGCCGTCGGCGCGGTGGAGGTCGAGGGGGCTGGAGGCGGTCCATTCATTGAGGATGAGGATTTCGCCTGGTCCCGGGGGAGCTGTCTCGCGGTCGAGGAGGATGAGGGGTGCGCGTTTGGCGGGTGTGGCGACGGCCTTGTGGGTTTTGGGGATGGTTACCATTTTGTGTGATTCTTTCTCTCTGACGTTGGGATTACGAGATAGTTGTGTGTATAGTAGGGAAGATTCAACCTGCTTCGCGTACAAACGAGTCTGATGATGCCGTAAGAAAATTGTCTTCACTATAGACGACACCAACACACTTGAAGTTGAGAGATTCTCGTGCCATTTTTGTACTCAGTCCTTACTTATCCCCACTAACAACTCCCAACGAAATTTGAAATGTCAAACCAACAAAAGCTCAGCATTGCATTTGAATCCCACATCACCACGGACACGGGATGCTGAATAAGCTTGGCGCAAGGGACTTTCGGCCCCGGTCTGTAGTTGATGTCGTGATTTCTAAGCTAGATGACTGGAGAAGGGATGAGCCGTGGCCCCCGCTTCCATCCAATCCATTAGCATTCTCCTCTTGTCCTCTTCGTCCGATCTAGTCCCTGTTGTCTGCCTGAATGAGTGCTTCTGGAAGTGAAAGAGGACTATTTCAGAAACTTGGTTTTTGCTGGTGCTGTGTAACTTAGCAGTTACTTAATGGGGGTATGTTACGTCATGATGGCAATCCTTAATTGCGATGTTCGATTTGGGGCAAGGACAAGTATTCTGTCGTACCCAAATGCGTTTTGTTATGAATCCTTAGATCTTGGGTACTGGGTATGCATGCATTGAGACAAAATGTCAATTGATTCTCTGGAATTAGCTAGAGGGATGCTTGAATGATCATACTGCGCCGTGTAGGGACCCAACCGGCCTAAATCCTTGACTTGGGGCAACTGAACTGCCGCCAAACGGGTCCGAAGCCCGGTCTTTGCCCCCCGACCAGTCCCACTTAACCCGGTACTCGCTCAGTCTGCCGGTCGGCAAAAATGGGGAACGGCCTACTCTTCCATTCATATCGTGTCGAATCGCCTGACTGGGCAGCTGATACGTTGAGCGCGCGCTCGCGCGTCTAGTCAGTCTGATGTTGAGACGCCGAGTCGAGTCGCGCCTCTGACTTAGGTACTAGGATATCCGGACTTGGTCTAGATACTTAGGCGGTCGATGAGGATGGTCACTGCGAAAGTTGTTCATTTTTCACGTGAAAGGATAGCAAACTGGGGATAGAGAGAATTCGTGGTGTTGTTCTATCAAGATCCATGCCCCATCTGGGGAACCGGTAACACCTCTTCATATCCCTCCAATTCCCCCGAGTTGTCAAATGTGAAAAAAGGAAAAAGGCTGAGCGTAGGTGTCGACCCAATCCTTGGAGTGTGGCAGCCCGTAAGACGATGGCTTGCTCCCCATATTCCCGCCAACCCACCGTCGTTGTCCTAACCCCAGCCAGGCGCGAGAGCCATTGGCGCCCCCTTCCTCCCCCTTGAAATGAGCGGGAACAAAGGCAACCTCCTCAAGCTCCCCCTCTCCTCTCAGCTGGGTTCGCAAAAGCCATCTCTCCTCGCGGCACCTCCCATCTCACCCAAGGTCCGTCTCTGCCGACACCTATCGCCTAGCGACAGCTTGCAAAAAGGGAGCGGAAAACACATAGGAGACGAGACCTTTATTTGTGTTTCTTGCCCTTATTGCGTGCCGTTATAAAAGTTGTAAAGAAAATTTTGATAAAATCGTTCAGAACCCAAGGAAAAAGTCCACCAGGGTCCCCCCACACGAGGGGAACCCCATGAAGATTCCATCCAAACTCCGTTGCGCCATTTGGTATATCCGTTCATGGCATCCATAATGAAAAAATCGCTTCATCCGTAACAGTCAAATTCGTCTGTTCTTCGTCGAGATCAAATCGCACGTTCGCTTATCGCTGATCGCAAGTACACAAGAGTCCACTGATAGGTAGCAGCAAGTGTGTTTTACATGCGCGAGGGCTGGTTGAGAACATTGTAGCCCATGGGGCCGACGGGCACCGTTCTCTTGGTCTCGATGCCGTGCTCGAGGTCGTAGCGGTAGGTGGGCGGGTTCCCGACCTCGCGGAGGGCCTTCTTGACTCTTGATCGGAGGGAGCGGCGTTCCTTGACGGCGGGTGCTGCCGCTACTGTCACAGCGGGGTCCTTTTCGAAGGATTCCTTTTCAAAGGAGCAGATGGTCGAGGTCTCGGAGAAGGTGGAGGGTGCGTATGTTGCTTTGGCCATTGTGGCGGTTTGACGGGTTTGGATGATGGTGGATGTGTGGTTAATGGTGATGATCGTAGGTAGTAGATGTGGTGAGGGTGGTGAATGTGGTGACGGGTAGCTTCTTGTAGTATTGCTGGTGTTGATAGCGTTTGATTGATGGACGATTGGTAGAAAAGGCTGATTGATTGCTGACGCAGGCCAAGATGAAGAATTGGTAGAGGCTGGGCGTAGCATGCGCTTTATAAGTATGTTTTCCAAAACGAAGCGATGCACCGCCTCAAATGCCATGGAACGCAATGTCACTGTATCCTGCATCCATCCTGTACCTACGCAGTAGTGTACACTACCTTGGAACCTAAGGAAGGTATCAAAGTATCAAAGTATCCTTTCGTAGGACTCATCTATTCCAAGCAAAAGCCGGCGGCGTGGTTTGGGGGCCCCCAAAAACGGGCGCAGAAACCTGAACAAGCATCTTCCCCCCTTTCCTCGTCCCAACCCAAGCCATCCCATCCCATCGCACACACACACGCACGCACTCGGACAGACGCAACTTGCACACGCATCCTCCAAAGATTCCGTCACTGGGAGAATTACCCCCCTCCCCTGGTCCTATCCCAAGGCATCCAACCAGGCCCCCGGAACAGATCAAGGTCGTGTATCCACACCATTGCGTCGCCCATAACCAACAATTGGGCTTGCGTGGGCGTGTGACGGGAAGCTTATTGAGCTTAACCTCTTTCGCCCCCTCCCTCACGCCGTCATATTCACAACATCATACCGCAGTATTCACTGGGAGTTCTTAGCAGGACTAAACCACAACAGGTAAGTAAGACTACCCAAAGGGATTCCTGTACAGGCAAGACATTACGCCGGTTCGCGTCAGTTTGTCAATGCGTCAAACTGCCCCCCTCTATTATGAATCCTCTAGTGGTAGCCTCGAAACTTACTCTCTCCCAGCGTGAGCACGACGCTGTAAGTAATAGCTTGCCAGTTGCCTAGCAAGCCTGGCACTGAGCAGTTTGGCAGTGTCGCTCTAATCCTCCTTGTTCCGATAAACTTCGGCCATGAGTCACTTGGCGCAAGGCTCAACCCTGACAATGCGTCCGCCTACATCCGAATCTTGCTGCTTCGCCATCCTTCATTCACTCTCGCATGGATCACAAGAGCATCACGGCGTGCCTGGCAAAGTCCCTTACGGGCGGCAGGGCAGCAAGGCGGCAATCGAAAATCCAATTCAGTGCGAGCAAAGAGCAAAGGAGAAAATCTCAACTCATCCCATCATCGCCAAAACTGACAAACTGCGATAGAAAAGTTTCTTTCTTTTTTTCTAATTATTGCGAAACCAATGCCACTTTGGCATCTTGGCGAACCCTCCATTCAACTCAGCCCCAAGCCATCGCCGACGCACTATCTTGACCCAATAGATTGAGGCTTTCCCGCGCGCATTTTGTCGTGGAAATTCACCAGTGTACGACAATTCGCTTTCGTGCTAGGCTTTACACTGCAATTGCTGTGGATACCATACCGAATAGACTCATCAACTCATACCACGTTTAGACTCACAGTGACTACGCAACGCAATCACCTTCCGACGTCAATGTCATACCTAATTAACTTGGAAATACGCATACATTCAGACATTGAGATCTTCCCCCCCGGTCCCGTGGTAGCGGGTTCCACGGACCACGTAAGGCAAGGTATTGGGGACGGATACAGCAGATCAACGGCCAACGCGGCCGTTCGGTTCCCGGCACCGCTACCAACCAAAAAATAAGCGTCAGATTTACTTACCCCCGCTCCCCTGCCTCCAGGGCGACGCAAACCAACAGGCACCAACAACACCACAGCAACTCTAGCGTAGGAATTGATCCGCCATAGGACAAATAGGACTCGTAACACTGTAAGACGGCAAGATAGACCACCGGTCGGCTGTGGATACCTACCTCGTCGAGTACCTCACAGTATACCTGGTAGACAGTCTCAGACCTCTCTCTCATCGCAGTGAGAAACCTGAGATCTCGCCGCCGGTGAGATTTTTTCCTGCGTCGTGAGTCACTCCCCCAACGCGCCCGCCATTGTTACAAAAAAAACACACAAAACATCAACATCTGGCGTTTAATCTGCCCTGCCTGGGAATGATTTCTCCACTGCGCGGTACCAATTGTAAGACCCCGTTTCTACCTTGGCGATGGATACCCACGATAGTGATCTCGACTCTTTTCGGCGAGCCAGAAACGCCTGAACGAATAATTGATTGGATCAGCAGTACTACGGGGGAACGCCGTGACGTTTACCTGTACGAACACTTCCACTGCCGGCCGGTACACACGGGACTGATACCCCCCCCCCCCTCGAGGGGCCAGATCAGCCCTAATGCGAAGCACTGCATTACTGCGAAAGGGACTTTGGGGCTCCGGTGACTCCTCGCCTGACAGGCTAACCAGTCACCACAACCCAAACGAGTTCGCCGGTCCTCGCATCATGTCACAGCCTACCTAGCGGTACGTATACAGGCAGATACTCCACCAAAGTTAGATCGTGAGGAAAAAAGTCCTGCATTACACGCGGAATCCATAGTAATCACTCCGCCCTCCATCCTCGTAAACCCAGCACAAAAAAAAAGAAAAAAAAAACCCTCCAACGAAGAAAACATCCCGCTGGAGACGAATGAACAAACGTGTCCCTCGCCCCGATGTGAATCTCCCACGCCGGGTGGGCCCCTCCAAATTCACTCCCAAGATGCCCACCCATGTCGGCAGTCATCCACTTGAAGCAATCGTCGTCACAAACGCGGCTCTGTTAAAGAATCCTCATCTAACACGCCCTGAAAAGAAAAGTTTGTCTTCCCACACGATCTCTCCGAGTCCCTTGGCAGGTCAAGGCTCCTTCCTACCGGCTTGGCTT